AGCGCGCCACTTGAGCGATAGATAAAGCTGCCCCTATTTGCGCCGATAGCGTCGCAAACAAACGGGGGGCGCGCGTGGCCTTCAAAAGGGCGTAATCACTTGTCGATCTGCATGTCGAGATAAATCAATGAGAGGGGGGAACTATGCCAAGCCCCCCCCGGCCCCCCCCCATCTTCTCCTTTTATTCAAAGCTTTTACATGATGCTTCTTTATGTTGTGATAAATGGAGCTTCCCGCGTACCGTCGAGCGCTTATGGAAATTGATTTGAGGAAAACATTCGGTAATCTACTTAGCCGGAGTTCTGACAATCTCCAGTATTGATCCCCTCTGTTGAGGCCAATACGCCGCGAGGCCCGCGGCCGCGTCATTTAACATGCACTCTGAGCGCACACTTGAACTTCAGAGTCACACGCTCGGCCACGGCAGGTGCCCCTGGGGGGCCTCTTCCCCCCCCCCCACCATCGCCCAAAGTGGCGGCCATCAATAATTGTATTGCCGCGTTTGTCAGTAATTGGATAGTAAATGAGCAGTGTCAGCTCGAGGGAGCCGCCGGGTCACAAGTCCACATGCGAGGAGGGTCGGCTTGAGTTCTGCCCTCCCTCCTCCGGGACGAGGGAATCGGGCTTGCTGATTGTGGGCTCGGTTTTCATTGTCTTTTCCTCCTCTTTTTCCATACGTACGAGCTCTCGGCTTAATTAGCAGCGGCTCTCCCTGCCAAGGCGCCACAGTAATTACCGGCTCAAAGCCTTCCGTTTCTCAGCGTGCCGCAACTCAGCCTGTCCGACACTGTTGGACCGAGCTCTTGTCCTTGATAACCATCCCGCACCTCCCTGCACCACCCGCCATGTTTATGGCTGCCGTCTAATCACCGCTTCCTGCCACACGTGGCGAGATGTCCGCTAATTGTTTAACTCGGATAAGTCGGCTCTCGCCCGGGTTCATCCTAAAAATCCATTTATCTGGACCACAAAGTGGAAATTGTGTCATGGCTGCAAGATTTGTCCACTGTGGGTTTTTTTTTTTTCCCAAGCTCACTTTAAGAAATCGGAGACAGATTTTATCGGACGATATTACCTTCTTTTCAAAATACAGGGTTACATTAGTGCTGCAAAAGCTCACGAGCATGACATTGCTTTTGGAGGAAAATTGTCAGTTCCTCACAATTGGCAACAATAGCAGAATAGCGCATGTTCCGAACTCTTTAGCTGCCATTGATGTGAAATGTCGTCAACGGGTCGCACCAGGTGCCATCAACTAATTTTTTTTTGTTTTTTGTTTTGTTGCTAATACTGGCACTGGTCACCAATAATGAGCTCCTTTTTTATTTTTGGGGGTTGGGGGGGGGACAATATGATTGTCTGCTTGCAGAGTTGAGTAAACAACCCCCTCTTTGAATTTAATTGCCTCCAATTAATATTTTTTCCTCCTTCTCGACAGGAGAGAGGGGAGGGGTGAGCAGTTACACACGGAGGAGGAGGGCCGGAGCAAGAAAAAAGAGACACTGTGGGGGGTTGGGGGGGGGGAATGCCAAAAATCCTTTTTTTATTCACGATGTAAATCGACAGGTTAATCGGTGATCTGCGAAATATCATCATCAGCGTAAAAATAAAATCCATGTCGTTCATGTCTTCCTTTCCCAGTTTGACTCTCATGCTCACTGAAAGTCTTCTAACAGTGTGAGCGCCATTGACAAAATTGGCAACAATGCACGCTGGCGGATTCTCAAGACACCGAGGCAATTTCCAATCGGATATCGCGTCCCCTCTTCTGCCGCCTGTGGATGTTTGTGCCACTGCCATCATCGTGGAGTAAATGCTCATTAATTTCACCCCCGCGTGGCAAAACCATTTCTCAGGGAAGCAATTCAAGGCCCTGTTCCTTTCAATTCGCCGCTCACGTCAATCACGCCGCGGTGCGGCATCTCGCCGAACGGAGGTGTTACATTCCCGCAATTATCATGTCATATACTCGAAAATGTAAATGAACGTGTGTGTAAGATTAAATTTATGGGTTGTCGGCGAAGAATGCGAACCAGGAGAGCAATTACTTATCCGCTTTCATCTGGTCGCCTCTGATACGTCAAGCAGAAAAGCAGGCCGTTAAATGCGGTGGGGTGGGGGGGGGGGATTAGCCTTGTGCCGCATCTTCGCAATGGACCGCTGCCCTTTTCTCTCCTCCTTTTTGTTTTCATCCCTTTGTTTCTTTTGGGGCCGACACCGCGGCGCCGTAAGCACCTCGCAGGTGTCTTCAACTCGCTTTGAGTTTGCGTTTGTCATTCCGCTTCCCTCGTCCCCCTTGTGAAAATGCATTTTTATAAATTTGCTGCATTATTCATCTTATTGGTGTTTGACCATGAATGCCTTTATTTCGCCACTCAGGCAACCACAGAAGCACTTTAAAGTACGGCGTGTGGAATCTCAATGCAGTTTGGCTTGATGTATGCGTGCGCATACGTTTATGTTAAATCCTCGGTCTGCTTCTGCGCACCAAAACATCTCTGAGCCGGCATCCAATTAATGGTCTTAATGAGTGCGTCTTTAATGTTGTTTCCGTGCCACTGTCACCGCGCGGAACCGGTCGTGACTGCCGGGGTAATTACTTACCTTGCGAATGTACCTTGAAGGGTTAATCACGTTGAAGGTGTAAGCACGGCATTTGCATAATTACACGCGGGCTGTTTAATGTGCAACTTTTTGACGGCTTTTGTTCAGCCTCCCGCTTGTTGTGCGCGCTTTTTTTTCCTTGTCGTCCAGAGGAGAGGGGAGATGTCGCGGGGGCAACAACAACATCCTCCTCCTCCTCCTCCTCCTCCTCCACATCCTCTCGCACCTTCCGCGGAGGCCCTTCTCTCGCTAAGACTCTAATGAACAATGGAGGCAGGATTTGTTTGAATATGAATATGAATGTGCAGCAGGGGCCGGCTGCGACTTGACCTTCAGCTGTGATTTTCAGTTCATCAGGATTAGTCAAGGCGGGCGATCAGGAGCCACTAATGCATAATGACTTCTAAAATGAAAAATGTGTAGTGACCATGCAAATGTCTCGGCTAATCAAAGAGGGGGGGGGGAGAACCTGGGCCGGGAAGGGGAGAGGAGCTAAACAAGGACGTGTCAAGGCCTGACAGCCAGCAAGGAAGGCGGCGGGAAAGGAGGGAGAGGGGGGAGACATGCGTGGAAAGTAATCAAGGCGCCTTGATTAGCCGGCGATGAGGACGGGGATGTCTTATTGGCCCCTTGACGCGGCGCGTGGGCCGGCTACCGGACGACATGTTGATATTCGAATTGCACGCTAAACCTGCCGCTGCGCGCGGAGTTGATTTTGCTAACGCGCGTCGAAGTCGAGGGGAAAATCGATCAACAACAAACCGAATAGCGAGAGCGGCGAGCCGCCGCCGCCGTCGAGTTTTAATCCACTTCCTGGCTGTTTGGCGTTCGCTTCGCTGATAGGAAAAGCGAATGTAGGCGAGTTCAAGGGACCTGCTAATTAAGGTCCACGTCTATTTAAATGGCTTACTTTCCCCAGAGGGAATGACGAGGAGGGGAAAATAAGAACAGCGATCCAGAGGCACGGCTCCCACTTGTCCTTCAGCGTTTCCTCCAGCCTCATAAACGCCGCCTGACCCGCTATGGAAAAAAAAAAAGTCCCTTCCTCAGGTGTCTTCTGCGTTCCTCCGCCGTCCTTGCGTGGCAGGTTCCAGCCTCAGTGGCCATGATGAGTCCCCAGGTGATCACGCCACAACAGATGCAGCAGATCCTCCAGCAGCAGGTGCTCTCCCCCCAGCAGCTCCAGGCCCTCCTCCAGCAGCAGCAGGCGGTCATGCTGCAGCAGGTGCCCGCCCACAGAGTCACACACCTTTCCGTTTATCCAAGCGCACCGAAACGGGTGAAAAGTCGTCGACCTTCGACGCGTCTGTCCCACCCACTCTCTCGCCACAAAAAAATTTGTTCAGGCTGTCGATGACTGAACGGCGTCAAAGCGCAGCTTTACTTTACCTCCACGCGCTAAAAGCGACCCCGTGCACGCTCGCCGCCGCTCGCTCCGTCCGTCCTTGACACACTTTTACCGAGAGGGATGTGAAATTGCTCGGCTTGCTCCGCGTTGCCTCTAATTAAGCATCTCCCGCGTGTCGCCGGTTCAATTCCCCCGTCTGGGACCGCGGGCCACCGCGCGATGCTGAGTGACACCGCGGGTGACGCGTGATGTAACATTTTGGAGCGCGCCGGTGTCAGAGTTGAAGTGCATTTCTCATTTGTGGATTTGATTAAGGCGAGGAGAATTTTTTAATTAAGATTGTCACTTATCGCGATTGTTCTTCTTTATGACAGGACGTCGCTTTGCGTGCGGTGGACTTTGCGACGGCATCTGTCACGGCAACTTCAAGGCACTTCAGTGTTCAATTATTAATCGGGAGAATTAGATTTCGGTACGATGCGAGCGGAAGTGAATGGACTGGAGCGCGGGTTCGCCATCAGTCATAGCTTCTCATTCATTAGTGTCTTTGTCGCCAACGGCTTGTTTGCTTGCGGTCGATCATTTTTCCAACTTCAGTTCCTGTTTCAAGACCAACAAATGCAACTTTTGTTTTTCACAATTGTAGATCGGTGTGATGCAAATTCCAAAAGACGTCAAAAACATGATCATATATTGCCGTTTTTTTTTTTTTTTTTTTGCATAATCAACGCAAAACTCGGAGCTGTCGATTTGGAGGAAAAGCCTGCTGCGTTTTACGCCAGACCTCGTGAATTAATTCACATCTTTGCTGTACAATGGAACCACGACGGGGCTAATATGAAAGCAAATTTGGAGACGTGCGCTTCGATGGATTAACGCGCGCGTTGTTTGTGTGCAGCAACACCTGCAGGAGTTTTATAAGAAACAGCAGGAGCAGCTTCATCTGCAGCTTCTCCAACAGCAGCATCCTGGCAAACAGGCTAAAGAGGTATTTTTTTAAAATTTTGTTGTATTTATTTATTTATTTATTGGGGGGAGGGGGGTGTGACACGGCTTTTTCATTCGACGTCCCTCGCCCATCATCAATCCACGCTACTTAATGCAGAGGATGCCGCGGCTGGCTCGCTCGGCTAATGAAATGTTTCGAGCAACAACAACAATTGATAGCGAAGAAACCGAAAGGCGACCGCGTGCGACTCATTAGTGACTTGTTTTCCCCCCCGCCGCGCGCGCAGACACGCGCGCTCGGCCACAAATCAGCGCTGAAGTTTGCACTGTGTGTGCGGCGCCCATGAATCACATTGACGGACGGACGGTCAACACAAATAGCTCGCGCTGTCACATCATCAGCTGGCTATCATACAAGAGGGAGCCGGCTTGACAGCCTCTCGTCCAAATCCTTTCAAATTGATCAGAAAACACACACATGGCGTCTTTCTCTCTCTCTGTCTTTGTCTCTTCAAGCAGCCCATTACTTTGCCCCCGACACGAAGCAGCACACGACCTCCCAGCGGCTTTGTTTCTGTTTGGATTTGTAAATTGTTTTATTTTTGCCGCCGCGAAATATGGAATAGAAATTGCTCCCTTATTTCTCCAGAGGAGGTGCGATGGGATGGGATGGGAAGGAGGCGTCACCTCCCTGCATCGCTTCATTATGCAGCAGGTTGTGTTGACACGCTGTTCCCTTTTTATCATGAGTGAAACGTTCAAGCGCACGCGCTTGAACTCTGTCGGAAAGCCAATTTTGACATTTACAAAACTTACAAATATTTTTGTTGAATTGCCCCATTTGATTGTTTTTTTTTTTGTTGTTTAATTTACAGTATGAATGATTGCATCCTGCTTCCGTGCACTTTTGGACTTTTCCTGAACTCAAGCAGTTGAATCAGAACTTTTAGCCCATGGTCACAGCTGAAGCTAATTTGTCCGTCATTTTTCCCGCCCGCCCTCCTTCACCGCAGCAACAGCAGCAGCAGCAGCAGCAACAGCAGCTGGCTGCCCAGCAGCTCGTCTTCCAGCAGCAACTCCTGCAAATGCAGCAGCTCCAGCAGCAGCAACACCTGCTCAATATGCAGCGGCAGGGCCTGCTATCGCTGCCCGGGCCCGCCCCCGGCCAGGCCGCCCTGCCCGGACAGACATTGCCCCCGCCAGGTGAGACCACCGCCACGGTTTCCACGGCAAACGATAACCCCCCCCCTCAATCACCCATCATGTCAGGCTTTGTCTCTCTCATCGGTATGCACCCGCCGCCCTCCCGTGTTATCTCGCCGTCCGTCTGCATGTTGTTTGCATTGGCCTCATTGGTATGCTCCTCCGCCAGCCGCCTTTGTCGCTAAACTTGCTACCCGATCGCGCTAGAACCTTCCATGCCTCATTTTGTGTCCGTCTTTGCCGTTTGTCTGTTCCCAAGCACTCCATCACCTTCTCTGCTTCATGTTGTTGTTGTTGTTGACTTCCTGTGCGGACAAGGAGAGAGGAACAGGGGGGGCGTTTTCTCCCCCAGAAGAAAATAAACACCATTTGTTTGTTGTTTGGACGTTGCATAGTGCAGGGGAGGGCCCTCGTCAATAACAAAGTCCTCTTTCATTCAATGCGTTCCTTTTAACGTGTATCCATTTGTTATTGGTTATGATTCGGGAAAACAAGAGTAACACTTTCGACGTCTTCCACTGCAGCCGGCTTGAGCCCGGCAGAGCTCCAGCAGTTGTGGAAGGACGTGACCGGAGGCGGCGGAGGCGGCGCGGCCGGCCACGCCATGGAGGACAACGCCATCAAACACGGCGGCGTCAACCACACCGGCGGCACCCGTGGCCTGGACCTCTCCACGAACAACCACAGCAGCAGCGGCAACAACAACAACAACAACAACAGCAGCAGCTGCAACAGCAGCAGCAGCTGCAACTCGTCGTCAACTACCTCCTCCTCCAGCCCCCTCAAAGCGTCGCCGCCCATCTCGCACCATTCCAACGGACAGTCGCCCGTCCTCAACCACAGACGGGAGCGGGAACGGGAGCGGGAGAGAGAGAGGTACACATCCGTGAAATGCGGCGAACGTGGAAAAAAAAAAAAAAGAATACAAGATGAAACAAATAACACAAGCTGGTTTTCTTCACAACTCGACACTCAGGTTATTTGTTCCGGTTCAAAGAGGCGGCATTGTTAACTACAGGGAAAACAAGATGTTTTGTTTATTTGTTTCATAGTTGATCACAAAACAAGAGGTTTGTTCTCCCCGAGGAGCGCGCGTGCCGTTGCGCGCACTTAGCTCCCGCGCAAATATCAAAAGCGAGTAAAGGAAGGCACGCAGGCAAGCACACACAACAACAAACCTCAATACTGGCAGACAAGACGAGATAACCCCCCACCCACCTTCCCCCCCCTAGCCCGTACATTAAGTATTTAGTTCTTTCTGCCGCTTTTGGAAAATTACCTCCCTTGCTTGCTTGTCATGTAAACAGAATACGTGATGCCTTGAGTGGCGTTTCCAGGATGTTTATCCTTGTGATGGCGTGTTTTATGAATGCACCCCCTGCACCAAAACACTGACTCCTCACATATCGGGACATGCATTATTCAAAGGCTTTACTTGGGCGATATTATAATAAGGCCTTATGGTAGCGCCGCTTGCAGGTGGAAGTGCCGTGTAATTGGTTTACAGTAGATGCTATCGACGGCGTGCCACCAGAAGGCGTGAAAGAGGATATGCGGTGGAAGCCGGAGGAGAAAAAGACTTTATCTGCCTGTGTCCCGCGGGCCACGTGCTCGGGGGGTTGAGGAGGGGGGGGGTGTCTGGTAATGATCGAACGAGGGGAATTGTCGGGAGCGCTGCTTACCGACACGCCGCCGATCGATGCGGGGTAAGCCCCTGTGAAAAAGCCGGCGTGAGCCCGACGAGCGCGCGCAGCCGGCCGAAAGGTTAAACTGTCCTCTTGAATCGGATGAACTTCTCCGTGATAGTTCGTTTTTCTTCTGTTTAAAATTTTTATTTTACGATTAATTTGCTGGTTTTGAACTCGTTTTTAGAGCCCTTGTACGAGTTTTTATTCTGTTTAATTTCTTTTTCAAAAATGCTGTTTCACTTGATTTTTTTTTTTATTCATTTTAGAATTTGTTTTTTATTTTTTTTGAATGATCTGGATGATTTCAAATTTTACACCGGGTCATGCTCTCACCTCTCTATTCTCCGCAGTTCACAGCATGAAGAAAACGGCGGCTCCCATCCCTTGTATGGCCACGGTGTGTGCAAGTGGCCCGGCTGTGAGAGCATCTGCGAGGACTTTGGACAGTTTTTGAAGTAAGTTTAGGACGACAATATGTCTCTCCACAAGCTAACATCTCTATTTAAAGTGAGCCGACGCCCCAACGCATGTAGCGAGGCAATGTAAGAGTAGTCGCGGTTATGTATTCTTTATCCTCTGCGAAGAATGCCGAATATTCCTACCGTACTGATGAGCTGAGAGAAGTTCTTATACTACCCCCAGGTGGCCAAAGCTGGCACACCAGAAAGAGCAAACCAACCACCATTCAAGGAATGGAATTAAAGTCACTTCATGTTCATCACATCCAAAATATAGACGTGATCATTTTTTGGATGTTCTCAGAGGCTTCATGCCCATGAAATGCAAACGTCTGTGGTGATTGTTTTGATATTTTCAGAGTTTGAAGTGGGTTTGAGAAGAGATGCGCATGGGCGACGAGTCACAGCTTCTTTGCGACATGAAGCGCCGTACATTGAGCGTTTTAGGCTGTCCCAGACCTGGTGCTATGCCGACTGCATATAGCTCTAAATTCAACCGATTTGAATCGGAAAATGATATGGAAGATGTGAGTGCATCCAATTGAGCCCATGTGTAAAAAAAAAAAAAAAATCCCTAAAAAAAAAAACAATCCTGCCTACAAATCTGCGATAAAGCTGCGGTACAATTGATGACGTGCGATCCGGAAGGGCTTTCGCCCGTCGCCACTTTGACCTTGCCGGCAGCTTGTTGACAGGGTTCAGCCCGAGCAGCCCCCGGACTCGGTCAGCCGCGATCCATAACAAATCGCCTCGGTGGCGTGGAAGCGCCCGACA